CACAGCTGCATAGCCTCCATGCGACATCATATGCCAATCATAATCAGCAATAGAAAACAAATTGTCTAAGGTTGCCTTTTCGGCAGGTCTGAGTTTTGGGGGGAAATCTCAAATAATAATGGTAGGTCTGGTGTTGAAATATTGAATGTAATCAAGGTAGAGAGAGAGTAATGTGGAAAATACCTGTCATACAGGTAGGGGGAGGGGGTGGAATGGGTGGGATACTGGGGTTTTTGCTGGTGGAAAATGTTCACTGGTGGAGGGACAGATTTTTCATCATTGTATGACTGAGACTTAAACCCGAAAGCTTTGTAACTGTTCTCATGGTGATTCAATAAATAAATTTACATATATAAAAAAAATCAGGGGCCAAGATACTGAGTGCGTAGGTCTTGCATGTGGCCTACCCAGATTCGATTCCCGGCATCCCATAATGGTCCCCCAAGCAGCCAGCTGTTCCCCCACAAAAAAAAAAAGAAAAAAAAGTAAAAACTTGGAATTGTGAAGCTCAGAAGATAGTACTAGGGCTGATTTTGGAGTCTAATTATGCTTCTGGAGATATCAACCTTAAATTGGAATTTATCTCTCTTTGACTGGCAGCAGCTGGCAGTGCGCAGAGGGAATAAATACATTGGTGCTCAGGGAACTATCCAGTGCTGGAGGTCAAATCCAGCACTCTCACATGTGCAGAGTGCTCTCTAGGCCTTCGACCTATCTCCCCACCTGAGATTTCCTTTTTGGAATATTTGGTTTGTGGTCCATACCTAGCAGTGCTTAGGGGCTTACTCCTGGCTTTGTGCTCAGCAATCACTTCTGGCCATGCTCAGGTGGCCTATATGAGTGAGATGCTCGGATTCAAACTGGGACAAACCACATTAAAGGCAAGCACCTCAGCCCCGTTGTACTATCTTTCTGACCTCCCTGGCTTTTTCTCAAAAGTAAATTTTCAGCAGGGTAGACCCTTGCTTTCATGAGGCTGACTCAGCTCAATTCCTGTAACTGCATGTTAGTGAGTAAGTCATAAGCGTAGCCAGGTGTGGCCCACAAGCAGACACCCAAAAATTTTTAAATTAAATTCAAGGGCTTGAGCAATACATAGTACAAGGGTTAATGTGCTTCCCCAGTTTGAAACCAGGCATTACACATGGTTTCTAGAACATCACCAAGAGTGAGCCCTGAACACCAACTTTTTTTTCGGGAGGCCTTTCCCCCACCAGAAAAAAAGTAAAAGCCAGAAGGGTGCCGGGATGTAGGTCAGTGCTAGAATACTTGCTGCCCATATAGAGGCCCTGGGCTTGATCCCTGGCACCCGAAGGAAAAAAACAAGACAACAACAAAACCCAGCCAGATGGTAGTCAGAATGTGTGGGTGGTTTCAAGTTTTAGAATAAAAGGCCTGTTCTCAGCTGCTGGACCTCTAGAGGGTGTTTTATAAACCACTCATTCCTGCTCTCCAGAATGGTTTGTGAAGTGAAGTTGCTTCCTTCCTGTTCAGCGCTCTCCTGACCTTTAGAGTTCAAGTCTATTCTCTGCCTTTTCTGGCCTAGCAGAGTCCAATTGATTATTGATTTCAATCAAACTGATCAAGGCGCTTGAACATTTCCTTGTTTTGGATGTTCTCTGTCTCTCTCTCTCTTTCGTTTTTGGACCACACTCAGCAGTGTTCAGAACTTACTCCTGGCCATATGCTCAGGGATTACTTCTGGAACACTTTGGGGACCTTATGTGGTACCAGAAATTGAACTTGGGTCAGCCTAATGCAGAGGCAAGCACCCTACCTGCTGTACTATCTCTCGCTCGCTGGAGGTCATTCCGTGGGTCCCTTTTCTCTTCTCTCTCTAACTTACTTTTGGAGGGGGAGCCAAACCCCTCTGCTCAGGGGTAACTCCTGGCTCTGCACTCAGGAATTACTCCTGACAGTGCTCAGGGGACCATATGGGATAACAGGGATCAAATCCGGGTTGGCCGTGTGCAGGGCAAACCCACGGACCCGAGATCCAAGATCCTTTTTCCTTAAAGGAGGGATCACAAATTAGGGTGTAAACTCAGCGATTCAGGTGATGCCAGTGAAAGCTCAAAACTAGTCTAGACTTGCTGAGTTGTTCTTGTTGGGGACAAAATCGTGGAGGGCCCAAGCTATGTAGCTTTCTTACTCATTTATTCCTTTTTTGTCTTTTTCTGAGTCACAGAATTCACCTCTTGTTTTTTTGTCCCTTTGTATTCTGGCAGTCCATTATTTTGCCATAGTTTATCTGGTTTAATTTTCTCTTCTATTTTTCCTGTCAAAATCAGAGTTGAGGCTTGAGGGATAATATGTTGGTTAACTTGTAGGCTCTTACACCCCTGCCCTTCCCACCCCCCAATCTCCTCTTGATTTCAGACATTGAGATTTAACATGAGGAATGTGAGTGATTGTGATTATTCTCAGATCAGTTCCTTCCCAGAAGAACTGGGAGGGAGTGTATTTGCACGGTAAGGGAGGGCAGGTGCTCTTTGTCCCTCCATCATCACAGCACCTGTTGTCCAGTTGAAGTTCAAGGCCACAGTGGGAATGTGTGTGGCAGAGTGAAGGAGGTGCCAGGAAACCACTGGAACCAGACAGAAGTCAGGGCAGCAAGAAGGGCAGGAAGGTCAGAAGATGAAATCAGAAAGCCTTAGGAACAACACATCATAGAAACTATTTATGTTAGAATTTTGAATTTGGCTTGGTGGCACAGTGGGGGTGGGGGCTGTTATGCCCCAAGGGGCTTGAAGTTTGCTCCCAGCGGTGCTTGGGACCAGGCAGTGTCAGTCTCTGGTGTGCAGAATATGCCCTGGGCCCATTGACTTAGCTCTCTGGCCCCATGGTAGGACTTTGTATTTTATGCTAAGTGAGATGGAAAGTCAGTGGGGATTTTGGAGTAGTTATTACTTCCAATTAAAAAAATAAATTACTGCGGCTGCGTGGAGAGTAGCTTGGGTGATCAGGGCAAGGGTAGAACAGAGAGGCCACTTAGGAGGCTATTGCAGTAATTCAGGCCAGAGATGACGAGATGACGTGTGAAATTATTACCTATCTCCAAGAAAGGTTGGGAGCCCTAATTAAGAAAACACGACCAAAGCCTGCATACAGCTGGATTCACAGTAGCGGGCTCCCGTGTTGGTTAATTTCCTTCCTTTCCTTGATGTGTGCCCTCAGCTATATTAAGATTATAAGGGAGAGGTTATTAATTCGAGATCAGCATTCACAGGGGAAGGGATTGTAAACCATACCTGTCATTTGACCTCAACTGAAGACTCATTTCTCGAGGCACGGGAGTTGGCACACCAGCTTCCTTCTGTTATCTCACCCACCAGAGACCCACAAAGATTGCATCTGTGCCAGAACTCCTGGGCAGTTCTCTTCTCATCCAGGCATTCAGTTTTCCTCCATTTGCTATCTTAGACACAGTTGGAGCTGAGGAACTTTCACAAAGTGTCCTTTCAGCTGCCTGGCTTTGCCAGCTGGAGCTTTCTGATACTCATCATGACAGAGTACTTTCACATACCTGAGAGTGCCTGAGAGAAATAAAGAGGTTTTGTCCTCTTTGTTTAACATTCCAGCTTTGTCCCCGCTCCTCTTTTGCTGTGATGTAAAACTGGACATGCCACCTTCTTTGCTGGGCTTTGCAGGATGGGAAAGGAATTTCACGTGACTTACTCTATTACGCCGAGTCGAGAGCAGAATGGTCCATGGCACACGGAAGGTTGCATCAGTGTCTGCCACCCTGCGCAGCACGATTCAGTAACCTCTCCCTTATAATCCTAATATAGCTGAGGGCACATGTCAAGGAAAGGAAGAAAATGAACCAACACGGGAACATGGGAGCCTGCTGCTGTGAATCGTGCCGCCGTTTGTGTCCCTTTGGTGGACATCACTGACGAAGCCATGTTGGTATGGCTGTAGGAACCGCTGCTCAGAGAGCACGGCAGGCAGTCTGCCGGGTCTGTGGTTTTCTTTGGGAGCCATGCAGTTTATTTTTCCCTCTCATTTTCGGATCCAGGAGGTCTAATTGGATGATCGGCAGATGGAAGGGTGAATCCTCAGAACCTTGAAAGCAGAATTTACTTCAGCAGTCATTAGTTTTGCTTCTTTTGCTTTGTGACCCTCTTTAGTTTGGGGGAGTGACCTTGAGTGGTGCTCAGGAGGCATGGTGCTTGTGGGCGATTCTCAGCCAACTGGGCTGTCAGTTCAGTGCAAGGGCCTGAGGATGTGATTCTGCACCGGCCCTGTGTGCAGAGGATATCTGGGCCACCCTTGCAGTGCTTGGAAGCCTGCCAGACTATACTTGGCGATGTTTGGGGGGCCATGTGGTACTGAGAATCGGGAATCAAACCGGGGTCATATACCTGCCATACATGTGGGCAGGCATGCTGGCCCCCTTTTTTTCTTTGAAAAGTAAGTTCAGATCATTTGTCACAAGACAACGATTGGGTGCTTCCGTAGCTCATCCACTGTGCTGCCTCTGGCCCTGTCTGACTGCCCCAGGACCCAGCCTGGGCTATAGAGGAACTTAGCAGTTGTTGTAAGGGCCTGCTCTTTGCAGGAGTACTTCTCTGATTTACCTCAGTTAGAATGGGCCCATATCATTGCATTCTGCCTCAGCTGGGATGCAGGTGAAAGTGCACTGCTAGTCTGGCAGCCCCCTGTGGGCCTGGGAAGAAGGAGTAGAGAGAGGCAGTCTGTAGGACATGCAAATGCCAGTACGTGTGTCTGTAACTCGTGAGCATGAGACTCCAGACGCACCTGTATTGAACCAGATTTCCCAGCATTTTTCGCATTCATACATGTGTGCAGACTAAAAGAGCATTTTTTGTCATAGTATAAGTGAGAGCAACCGGCTGCTGCACTTTAAGATGCAGACACGTTTTCCACCAGCCTGCTGCTAGTTGGTCTCTTACCTCTCTGGCTGCGGGCCTCCACTGCCCACCTCTGGCGTGCCCGGGATCTCTGTCCCTGACCCTGTCTTTTGTCCATTCCAGTGTGAGTGACTGCCTCATGTGGTGTTGATGCCCGTCTGCCATGCTCGCCTGTCTACCAGGGCCAGCTGACCTGTCCTTTCAGCTTCTTTCTCATACGCAGATGAACACTGGACTTCAGAAATGTAAGTAACCCACACCCCAGGGAGGGCCATGTCATCCCAGTCTCTTGTCCCCACATTTGGGCTCTTGTCGAGGGGTGAGCTGTGTGACCCCCCACGCCTACCCAGTTATTCTTCAGTTGAAACCACAGACAGCAGCTATAAAATATGTGAGCATTGTCAGACACTGTAATAATCCGAGATCTTCCTCGATTCCTCAGCGCATCATCATTGTTGCTGGGCGGTCTCTGTTGAGCACTGCACCCTAAGGAACTTGACAGGGTGTGTGTACATATTGCCTCCCAGGAAAGTGTTTGCTGCCACAGACAGCCCCAAGAAGTGAATGAAAATTCTCAATTCAGCTCACTTGCTATATTTCTTAAACTGCTTACACAGTCCTGTGGCTTTGAATCCTCTGAGCACTTTCACAGACACAGACAGCTCCCTTTGGATCTGCTCTCAGTCTTCGGAGCTAGAGCCATAGTACATGCAAAGTTTGCCTTGCATGCAGCCAAACTGGGTTCAATCCCCAGCATCCCATGTGGTCCCCTGAGCACCACCAGGAGCAATTTCTGAGTGCAGAGCCAGGAGTAACACCTGACCATCGTTGGGTGTGATCCATAAATAAGTAAATAAATAAATAAATAGGTAAAGAGACAGGAGACTAGTTATATCGGTCTCTCCTGGCATATTGCTAGTATGTGTGTTTTCCACAAGATTGATCTTAAGAGAACTATTAGGTGCCTGGAATTGGGGCTTTAGGCGTCCTATTTTCTCAGTCTGACAATCTATCCCAATACTACACAGTGTACAAGAGAGATTCCAAGCCCCCTTTTCCCCCCAAATAAAAAGAAGGGGGGCAGAGTGATAGTACAGCATGCTATAGTACAGTGATAGTAAGTCGCATGCTGCCAACCTGGGTTTGATCTCTGGCACCGCGTACGGTAGCTCAAGCTCTGCCAAAAGTGATCCCTTAGCATAGAGCCAGGAGGCTATGCTGAGCCAACCAGGCATTACCCCCAAAGAAACCCCCAAATTTGGGGAGTTGGAGTGTTGGTACAGCAGGTAGGTCATTTTCCTTGCAACCTGGACTCGATCTTCAGCATCCCATGTGGTCCTCTGAGAACTGCCGGTCGCAGTTGCTGATTTCGGAGCCAGGGGTGAACCCTGAGCACAGCCGGGTGTGGCTCCAAGCGAAACAAGCAAAAACAAAAACAAAACCAAAAGGGGGGGGAGAGATTCCATTCCTGGCTCCTCTAGTGTAAAAATAGCCCTAACTTGGGGATTGACAGACCTTTCTTTCCAAGCTGAAAGAAGAAATCAGTGAGGCATTGATTTACCTATTGATTTATAGACTTACCCTTTCATAGAAAAGGCGCTTCAGCACCTTCTTTGAATCCTTTATGATGGAGTTGGCCATGTAGCAAGTATTCTCCTTGTCCTTGGCCAAGAGTCTCCATTTTATTTGTCCACTCTGCTGTTGTTGGGCGGAGGCAGCTATAAAACACATGTAAACAAATGAGTGCGACTGTGTTATAATAAAACATTTCACTAAACCAGCAGCTGGGCTTTGTTCTGCAGGCTGTAATTGACTGGTCCTGCTCTCTGGCATCTACCCCTGCTCAGTGGCACTGCCTGCGGAAGTTAGAAGTTTAGCCTCTTTTTCTAGCCTCTTTTTTTTGTTTGTGTGGTCCCCCCCCCCCACACACACACACACACAACAGTGCTCAGGGCTTACTCCTGACTCTGGGCTCAGGAATCACTCCTGGCAGATTCGGGGCACCATATAGGGTGTTAGGGATCAAACTTGGTCAGCTGCGTGCAAGGCAGGTGCCTTACTCACTGTCCTATCTCGCCTCAGAATTTACCTTCTTGACTTTGAGAGAGAATAAGAGTCAGAGCCCAGCTATTTCTGGAATTTGTAGAACTAACTTGTAGAACAATAAGGTATCTTCCTTCCTTTGTCTTCCTTCTGGAGCTGCCAGCTGCAGTGAGCAAGCTCTGTTCTACCAGTTTTCTCCCCAGATGTTTTCTTAATCAATGATGATCTTACAGTGAAGTTTCACATGTTCATCCCTGCTCACCCAAATCTGCCAATTGCATTCTGACTGGTTCTCAACCTCCAGGTGTACAGTAAGGCTCAATAAATGTTTCTGGGAAAAAGCCTGAAGTAATCAAAAGTCCTTGGTCTATGAACCAAAATTTAGACTATTTTGACCTCCTGGTTATGGTGGTCTTTAAGATTTAGGGGAAATGTCAAAATTTGCCTTTTTTGTTTTTCTTTGTGGACTCATCTGCCCCCTTGTGGAAGAACCTAGAAACGATAAGTTTCCCCGTAAACTAGATAAAACTCATAGAATTATCAGAAATTTGCCAATAGTTGTTGAAAGCTTACTGTATATCATTTTCATTAATTCTTTGTTGTTGTTTTTTGGGTGTTTTTTTTTCTTTTTGGGTCACACCCAGCAATGCTCAGGGGTTACTCCTGGCTTTGCACTCAGGAATTACTCCTGGCGGTGCTTGGGGGACTATATGATATGCCAGGGATTGAACTCGCAGAACTCAGGTTGGCCGCGTGCAAGGCAAATGCCCTACCCGCTGTATTATTGCTCCAGCCCCCATTTTCATTAATTCTTTAGTTACATACGGGAGGTTTCTTATTCTTTTGTTGTGGGGCTTGTCCATCAGTGGTGGAAGCTGCTCTGGGCTGTTTGGGATCAGACTTGAGATTCCAATGGATAAAGCGTGTGTTCAGCCCTTTAAGCCTTATGGTAGACTCTTAGCAGGGTTTTTTTTTGTTTTTGTTGTTTTTTGTTTTTTGGATCACACCTGGTAATGCACAGGGGTTACTCCTGCCTTTGCACTCAGGAATTACTCCTGTTGGCGCTTGGGGGACCAGATGGGATACTGGGAATCGAACCCGGGTCAGTGCGTGCAAGGCAAACACCCTACCTGCTGTACTGTAGCTCCAGCCCCTCTTAGCAGTTTTTAAAGAATGAGACAGAGAGATCAGAGAAGTAACTCAGTGGGATAAGTGTGTGCTTTGTATGCAGGAGACCTGGGTTCCATCCCCAGCACTGCATAGAGTCCCTTAAGCACCTCCGGGAGTGACCCTTAACACTGAGCCCAGAATAGCTCCTAAGCACTGCTGGGTTGGTTTGGCCACAAAACTTCAACCAAACAACCAACAACAAAACCCTGTAGGTAACCAACAAAAAAAAAACCTGTAGTTGTGTGTTATATTGCTGTTTAGTGACTGGGGTTAGATTTCAGACCCTGTGTTTGAACCACAACACCTGTGCCTTTCCAGCTGTGGGTTGAAGTCTCTGCTGCATATAGCACCCAGGTGTCTTTTTGTTTATTTTGGTGGGTGGGTGTGTGCTGGGGAATCTAACAAAAGACCTCACACATCCAAGGCAAGTACTTTACTGCTCACACATATCCATAGCCCTAACCACGTCATGTTTTCTGATTTTCAAAGGGAAGTTCAGGTTCAGGTAATTTCTTCTTCCTTTTTCTGGAATAGACTGTAGTACTTTCTCCTACATTTAACTCAAACTCAAATCCACAGGGGCCTGTGGTTTGGGCTTCCTGCTAAACTAGCTCTGTGTGTCCTGTCTTGGCCGACTCTGCCAGACCTGCTACCCTGCATGATAACTAGCAGCTGACATGCTTCCTGTTAACAGAGCTTTTCTCTACCCATGAAGCCTCTTGATCATCATAGTCCTGTGAGCTAGGACTATTTAGTCTCATCGCTGTTTATAAATGATAAGTGACTTGTCTCTTCAGTCATCAGGCAGTGCTTCTCGACTAAAATGGGAGAAAAGTCCAGTTAAAATGTATAACCCCCCCAAATTTTTTTTTAAATTAAAATGTATAGCCCCTGGGACCAGAGAAAGAGTAGAGGGTAAAGCTGGAGAGATTGTGGGCAGGGAGCTCACGTTGCATGTGGTCTGTCCGACTTCAGTCCCCAGCATCCCATATGATCCCCCGAGCACTGCCAGGAGTGATTCTTGAGTGCAGAGCCAGGAGTAACCCCTGAACTTCACTGGGTTTGGCCTCCCAAACAAACAAATATGTACCCCCTGTTGAGCATCACTACCAAGTGTGTGTGGTTCCCCGGGCACAAATGACAGGGAGGGGATGGAGAGAGAGTACAGCCGGTAGGTGGCTGCCTCATGTGCAGTCAACCCTGGTGCCACCAAGAGTGGTCCCTGAGCACAGAGCCAGGAGCTCACCCTGAATGCAGCCAGGTGTGACCAGAAAAACAGTAAACTATAAAGCCAGGGCTGGGGTCATAGCTCAAAAGACTGTAGCGCATGGTTTATATGGGGAGCCCCAAAAGCAGCCTCTTCCCCCAGGTATGTTCAGAAGCCAAGAAGAGGGTATACTCTCACTGGTTGCTTTAGTTGGCTTAGCACTGCTGTGGGTGGAGGCGGGCAAGAGAATCTGTTGAGTGTCCCCTTCTGTACTCAAGAAGAGTTCAGGCTTGTCCTTTGCCTCTGCCTGTAAAAACCCACCTGAGACTGGAAATTACTTGGAGCAAAGAAACTCCTGTTACCCAGAAAGCCCCTGTACCATTTTTACTTGGCTTTCAGGAAACTGAGGCTGGAGTGGTAGTCCAGCGGGGAGGGCGTTTGTCGTGCATGCTGCTAACCTGGGTTCAATCCCCAGCTTCCCATATGGTCCCCTGAGCATTGCCAGGAGTAAACCCTGGGCACCACTGGGTGTGACCCAGACAACCAAAAGAAAGAAAGAACACTTTTCGGTATGGAGGAACGCCTAGGGACAGACCTTGCTGTCTGCCAGCACCTACGCTGAGGCCCTCTGCTGAATTTTTCACCAGGTCTGCTGTCAGTGGGGCACTGGGCTTCCGAGGGGCTGTTCAGGCAGCTGTAATGGAATTCTGGAGCCTCGATTTTAGAGACCGTGCCAGTGATTCTAGAATTTGTTGTCTAGGAGTATATGGGCAGGGTCCAAAAGTTTGAAGCCTTCAGGGTTAGTAGCTTCTGAAGAGAAGCAGCTGGACTTTGCTGTTTGCACTTTGATCCTGCTCATCAGCCAGTGCAACCTCTTAAGTGAGAGATCTCTGGCCTCCCCTCTCCTGCCTTCAGGTGTCCCTCACATGAAACCATTCCAAGATCTTCCCTAAGTCAGCTATCTTACCAGCACGTTATCAACAGGACATCTGTGGGTTACTTTTCTTTGTTTTGCGGTAGTGAGGATTGGGACCTCACACAGGGGCGCGTCTGTTCTTCACTAAGGAAACATCACCAGCCCTTAAGTGGGTTGGCTTCCCTGCTTGGCTCACAGGCCCTACCTTGCCTTGCCCTTCTTCCCTGAGTTTTGCTTGGATGCGCTTGGGGTGAGTCTCTGCTCTGGGACGTAAGCTTGTCTTTTCCTGCTTCTCAGAACAGCAGTGTCCAGCACTTCCTGCCAGCTAACCAGCAGCGTGCCCCAGCCAGTGCCCCCATGCCCTTCCTTCCAGCGTATGCACTGGCCCTGTTCGATTTCAGATGATGCTAGTGACGTCGCTTAGAACAAGGTCTCCCTTCGGCCAAGCCAGCTGAGGCCCCAAGCCTGGCGCTCAGTCACCTGAGGCCTCGTCTGTCCTGACAGCCTTCTACAAGGGGGTGGAGGAAGGAGGGCGTCACGAGCTATGCCTGGGCTCCCAGCCAAGTCCCTGTCGCTGCGTGCAGGGGCAGTTGTGGACCTGCTCACGCAGCAGGCCTTTATTCAGCACCTCCTTTGTCCACCCAGGGGCGACCCTCCCTCTGAGGAAGGAGAGCAGAGCAGGGACCCCTGGAGAGGGCCTGGCACCCTTAAAGAGCCCTTGTTCTTGGAACCTTTTCCTCTCTGACTGGAAGCCTGACATCCGCTGCAGACCCCCGCTGGGAGGCAACTGGAGATGAGAACAAAGAGATGGTTAATGTTGCTGAGGCCCTCGGAGTGGGCATTTCCGCAGTCCCCAAAGGAAGGCAGGCTTCTTTTCCCTCTTTCATTTTGGAAACTTGACAGCTGACAGGGGCCAAATACAGACTATTTTCGGTTCTCATGACTTAAAGATCCTCTGAGTCCTTTCTTCGCAGTTCCCTCGCTGCTGCCCTGTCAGTATTGTCACATACACCCCCACTCCCAGCCCCAGGAAATGAAGAGAGGCTTCTGATCTTCACACAGCCGGGCACAGAGTCAGCTGCAGACAAAAGTGAACTTGTGAGGGTGGGGGGAGGTTGGCAGCTCAGTTCTTGCTCCTGAGAAAGAAGCATCCTGTACTCCGCGCCAGGCCGCCCGCCCAGTAGGCATGGTGCCCCAGCCACCCCAGCGCGAGAGAGCAGATGCCGCTGGCCCCTGCAGACTCGTATCCACTCTACAGAGTGCCGGAGGGCGAGGCCGAGTGGCCACAGAGAACCCTTTGCTTGAAACCTGCTGTTTGCTGCTCAGGTGTCTGACTGAGCGGGGACAGCCAAACTCAGGAGAAATTTTCTGAAGAAAGGGCAGAGAAATCTGGGGCAGGGAGGCCTGAAGAAAGGTGAAGGCCTTCCCTTTGTGTCTGTGTAATATGTTCTTCTGGCCACGCCCAGCAGCTCAGAGCTTATTTCTGGTCCTGTGCTCAGAGATCACTCCTGGTCCTGTGCTCAGAGATCACTCAGGGAACCACCCGGGGTGCCGGGGATCAAACCCAGGTCGACCACATGCAAGGCAAATGCCCTCCCCACTGTTACTCCCTCTTGGACCCCAGCCTTCTCTTTTTATATTCTCTTAATTAGGAGGCTGGGAGAGCACTGTATACTGGGTTTAAGTCCTGCCAGGCGGTGGGGCAAAGGCTTGGGGCCGGCAGGATGTTCAGAGGATTGCCGTCTGCATATCCTGAATTCCTACCCAGATATTGCCATTCTTCCCTGGGGCCTTTCTCTTTCTAATCTCACCCTGCCTGTTTCCCTCCTGAGCCTTTAGCACTGTTATCGCTCCCCTCCACACCCCCCAGCACTGGCTGACAGGAACCGGGAGGGTCTGTAAGAACTCTGGATTATCTCTGTGAAAACCGGCCACCTCCTCCCATTCCACCCTAAGGGACTTTGCAAGTTTCTCTTCTGTTCTGACCTTCTGTGCCCCTGGGATGGGACCTGCTTCCTGCAGTAGCCGAGGGAGAGCACTTGCTCCTCACGCCAGGCCCAGCCCCTGACAAGACTCAGTGTTCGCAGCGCTTGTTCCATGGAAATGGGGCTGGGTCTACAGCAAAGACCAGGGATGGCAACTTCGCTCCCCTCACCCCCGCACCCCTACTCAGGTTCTCGAAAGAGGACTCTAGAAAGGCTGGTTGGCTTGGCACTGATGAGCTCCCTCTCCTTCTTTGCTCTCCTTCCCCTTCTCTCTCTCTAGGGGACACTACACAGAAAATGAGAACTGCTCACTATCCCACCCCAGCCGAATTGGACGCGTATGCTAAGAAGGTCGCAAACAACCCACTGACTATAAAAATCTTCCCCAACAGTGTGAAGGTTCCCCAGCGGAAACACGTTCGTCGTACTGTGAACGGCCTCGACACATCCGCCCAGCGCTACAGCCCCTACCCGACCCAGGCTGCCACCAAGGCAGGCCTGCTTGCCATTGTCAAAGTGCCAGCCAAAAGCGTACTCAAGGACTTTGACGGCACCCGAGCTCGGCTGCTCCCTGAGGCCATCATGAACCCCCCAGTGGCCCCCTATGCTACTGTGGCACCCAGCACTTTAGCCCACCCCCAGGCCCAGGCTCTGGCCCGCCAGCAGGCCCTGCAGCATGCACAGACCCTGGCCCATGCCCCCCCCCAGACGCTGCAGCACCCTCAGGGTATTCCGCCGCCCCAGGCACTGGCCCACCCTCAGAGCCTCCAGCAGCCTCAGGGCCTGGGCCACCCTCAGCCCATGGCCCCCACGCAGGGCCTGGTCCACCCGCAGGCCCTGTCTCACCAGGGTCTCCAGCACCCTCCCAATCCCTTGCTGCATGGAGGTCGGAAGATGCCAGACTCAGATGCCCCCCCGAATGTGACCGTGTCTACCTCAACTATCCCCCTTTCCATGGCGGCCACCCTGCAGCACAGCCAGCCCCCGGACCTGAGCAGCATCGTGCACCAGATCAACCAGTTTTGCCAGACGCGGGCAGGCATCAGCACTACCTCAGTGTGCGAGGGCCAGATCGCCAACCCCAGCCCCATTAGTCGCAGTCTGCTCATCAATGCAAGCACGCGGGTGTCGACCCACAGCGTCCCCACACCAATGCCTTCTTGTGTGGTCAATCCAATGGAGCACACCCACGCGGCTGCTGCCGCCTTGCCTGCCGCAGGCCCTGTCAACCTGCCCACTGGCATCTCGCGGGCCCCCACTGGCTACCCTAGCGACCTCAAGCCAGTCGCCTGGAACCAGCACCAGCTGGCTCACCTACAACAGATGTGCAGTGAGGCTGGGGGGACGCCGGCCCCGGGCCTGACGGGCAAGCACGCGGCAGGACGCGAGTTGGCAGGGCCTGGCTTTGTGGGCAAGGCCCCTGCCTACCCGCAGGAACTCTGCCTGGCACAGTCCTTCCATCTGAAGCCAGCCCTGGAGAAACCAACCCCATCCCCACCGGTCAACGGCTTGGCGGCCCCCCTGGCCTACCCCAATGGCCACTACTTCCAACCCCTGTGGAACAACATCCTGCCCACTCCCAATAGCGACAGCTCGGGGTCTCAGGACCTCGCCATGCCATTCCATGGTGGGCAGCCCACGGGTGCACCCCTCGACTGTGCAGCGGCTGCTGGGGCCCACTACCGCGCTGCAGGGACCGGGGGCGGTCCGGTGGCGAGCCAGAACAGCTTGATGCAAACAGTGGATTACCTAAGTGGGGATTTTCAGCAGGCCTGCTTTCGAGAACAGAGCCTGGCCATGCTGAGCAAGGCCCACCGCGCTCCTGGCGGCCGAGCCCCTGACCCCACAGATAGTCGGAGTCTTCATATTCAGCACCCCGGGTACAGATAGGGAGCCTGGGGCCGCCCTCCACAAGCCACACGTCAGACATCACCCCTCTAGGTTAGTCTTACTTTCGAGTAATTGGATAGCTTCAAAGTTTCACTGCTCCAATGTGATCATGCTTAGATGTCTAAGAACAGGAATTTGGTGGGATCTACTGTAGATCAGAGGGGGACCCTCTGTGCTCTCCTCCTCCCCTCCACTGCCTCCTACCCCCCCTCCCCCCCAGCAGCTTTGGGTTTATGAGGGCCTGACCCCAGCCCCAGGCTCGCCTTTCTGCTGCCTGCCTCTGTCAGGCCTGCCGCCGCCTCCTGTGATCCCTGGGGCCGCTGTCTCCCGCCCCCGAGCCCCCAGTGAGGGAGCACTTGGCGTCCAGCCCCCTGAATCAGGCCTGCCTCTGTCTGTCCCTGTGTGTGTCTGTCTCTGTCTCTTTGGAACTAAAAAGCCAGGCTTCCCAAGTGCTCTGGAAGTGAATTCCTTATTTTCCCAAAGACTCAAATCAAAACTGACCCAGTCTGCATCTCGTCTCCCTTCCTCAAGGCATCCTTACATCTCCGTGGATCCCAGAGCCACTGCACTTGTCCTTGCCATATGCTTCAAGGGCACCCTGCAGGCACTTGGCCATAGCCTTGAGACACGGGGGGGGGGGGAAGTCTGTCTTTGTATTGGCGTCTTGGTTCCTGAGTCCCTTTTTCCGTCCTAGAGAAATGTGGTGACCATGTAATAGGCCCAGGACTCCTTTCTCACGGTTGCCTCTTTCCTAACTCACCTGTTGCTCTCATCCCCCAACACCCACCTCAAAAAGGAAAGAAAGAAAAAAAAAGTGATGTTACTTGAGGAATTGGTAGGTAAGGGATGATCACATTGGAGTTTGGAGTTTAAGACACCAAAAAAAAAAAACAAAAAAAAACAAAAATCAAAAAAAAAAGTTGAAATGCATTTGGTTCTCTACACTGGCTAGGAATTGCTCTACACTGTAAGTTTTCAATGTCATGTTTCTGTATGAATGTAGTGTGGGTTGAGTAGCGTTGTGTGAGTGGCCCCACAGGTACATTAACCCGCTAGACACCTCCTTTCACAGCCCCCCAGTTTAATGAAGAAAGATAGGAGGGGGGGAAACACAAAGCCTTAAGCTCTTTGAATTCTTCCTTGACCAGGTGGGCACGATGCTAAGCGCTGGGGATGGGCCTGCTCTGGGAACAGCCCCTCCTGCCCCTGCCCATCATTCCACGCTCCACGTGGCTCCTGCCCTCATGATAGTTCGTTGGCTAGAAGTGAAAAACTTAATGCTGTAACCTTAAATTTAGGTTATTATTTGGTGGTAGGGTTTTTTCGTTTAGTTTTGTTTTTTGCTCCCATCTTCTGTTAACAATGCATAATTGGGCTCTTTTTTTTTTTTTAAACCAAATAAGCCCTACCCTTCCTCTTGTCTCTGGGGAATGTGAGCTGATGTTCTTATTTAAACTTTCTATGGTTTACCTATATTATCCACTGTTCTGTAGCCAGAAATTCTCTAGTGATCTGAAGCGATGTGACCGAAGACCAGTTGTTATGTGTTGGCAAGTTGCCTTATATTTAAAAAGAGGAAAGAAAAGGAAAAAAAAATGCCTGATTGTGTTATGCCAAATGATAGCAACATGCAGTCCTAATTTATTGTTCCCGGTAGTTTTCCTGCTGTCTGTGAACACTGGTACCTCCCCACTCTGGAGCCCAGGGGCACCTGTGGCTTCCAGTGCTCCTGCCCCCTCGCTCTGCCCCCTCGGTGCTGGCTGCCCTCCTGCCCCGGGGCCCCTCCCCCTCTTGCTTCTCTGAGTTAAATTTAAAGAGCACCACTATCTGCCCTTATTCCTTGCTTGATTTCCTAGCCAGATATTTTTGCTGAAAACTTTTCCAATGCCTCTCCCCAAAAGGTGAGCTACCATATTAGGAAATTGGAACAGACACCAACTTGGGGGCTTCAAATCAAACAACCTCAAACCCGTCTCTTCCTGTGTAGGGGTGCAAGTCTCTGAAGCTCTTACTCCCACCCCTAGTCTGCATGGAAAATGTACTGTGACACCCCGCTCCCCTTCTCCCCCAAATGCCCTCGCCATTGGTGTGAGGTGTTTCCTAGTTCACCCAAAGCCCCTCTCCTCTGCCAGCCAACCCCTAACCAGCAATAAGGGTCCAAGCCAGGGCCTCCTGTCCACACTCCCTGCCTCCATCCCACACGCCCCTAGGGAACACCGGATCCCCTTGCTGTCCACATACTGTAGCATTCATTCTCCATCTCCCTCACCTTCTCACCTGTGGTGGTTTATGGGTGTGATGGGGTTTTTAAGATTATTATAAATCAGTAAAAAAAGAAGAAAAAAAAACCCTTTTTGTCCTATTCGTTTAATGCTGTGAATGTTTGAGGCAACTTTAATAACGATTTCTGACATCTCACTGATGGGAAGGAAGTCATTTCTTGCGTTTAGCTGCGACCCTCGTTGAGGTATTCCAAGCCCTGACTCCAGGTCAGGCACTGCACCTGATGGGAGAAAGGAGCCTACAGTTTCCAGGGGTCTGACAGGCTTTCCTGGGTAAGTATGGATTGCTGAGCTGCACTACAGGGCCGGAGAGTGTGGCCACTTCCTCTCCAAGGACCACCAAACTGAGAAATAGGAATCTGATTTGCCATTCAGTTGAAGACTGAACTTCCCCTCCCCCAATTCTAACATTTTGGAATTGCAGAGAACCACTGGCAGGTAGAGGTAATAGGCACTGTGTCATGAGAACTGGTGACCTGAATCTGATTTGTTGAATATTGGAAAATATTCCTTAAATTCTGTTAGCTCCTCCCCCACCCCCGTGTTCTTTTAAGTTAGGACTAAGGTGATGGGGGGAAGGAAAGATCCACAGGATGTGGGACTCTGCAGGTAGGAACATCCTTAGTAGAGGGAGCCAGCAAATGACTCTCAGTGTTGGAGTTAAAAACTCCCCAGGGATGGGGGGGCGAGGGGTCAGAGCTGTAGTACAGTGGGTAGGACCTTTGTCTTGCATGTTGCTGACCAGTGTTCAGTCCCTGGCATCACATATGATCCCCCCAAGCATCATGAGGAGTAATTCCTAAATGTAAGCAGTAAACCCTGAGCATCAAATTGATGGATGTAACCCCAGACTATCCCCCTCCGCACCCAAAAAAAACCTTCCCAGTGCCACAGAGATAGAACAAAGGTTAAGGCCTTGCAGTGGGGCTGGCTTGTAAATCCTTGGCAATGCATCTGGTCCCTTGAGAACCACCAGGATTGATTCTCGTATCAGGAGCTAAAAGCACTCTGGTGTGGTCCCAGTATACACAAACCTCCTAAAGAAAAAAATTTAAAAAGTACTCCAGCCTCCAGAAGACCTCTGTGAGACCCTTTGCCTCTGTTGCCAATGTCATCCAGGGACAACCCTCTTCCTGTGTCACATGACTGAAAGTTGGACCTTGGCGTCTGCCTCCACAGTGAGGGATTCCTAAGGTAGGTGCTTGGGGAGTTAGCTCACACTTTAGTGCAAAATCTGGCCTTGCTCGCGGAGAGTGTATCACAGGGTGCATGCCTGGCATACACACACAGGGCTCTGGATTCCATCTCTGGCACCGCATGACCTCCCTCCCACAGCTGGGCATAATCTCCGTGGCCTCCAACACTTCTTGGGAGGTCCTGAAAAAGAACAATCCCCAACAGTCATTTTGACTGCCAGCAAGGGTGCTGAAATGAGGGCCAGGGACCAGAGAGAGCAAAAAGGGTAGGGAGCCAGCCTTGCTGCAGCCGATCCTGCTTCAACCCAAGCCTACCAGGAGTGATCCTTGGGCTAAGAGCCAGGAGTAAGCCCTGAGCACAGCTGAGTGGCACCAAAATCCTTTCGGTGGAATGAGGGAGGGCTGGGCCTAGTTGTGGGATCCACTGTAGGGCCCCATTCTGCACTCAACTCCTAGGAGGCTCTAGTCTGTGATCCCTGTCCTGCCACGGCACAGGCCTGCCAGCAGGGGGAGCCCGAACCTAAAGCAGGGATGTAGTTGGGCTTAAGAGAGCGTTTTTGGGTTTTTTGTTTTTGGGCTTCACCAGGGGTTACTCCTCACTCTTTCAGGAATCAATCCTGGCAGTACTCAGGGGACCATATGAAATGCCGGGGATCGAACCCAGGTCAGCTGCATGCAAAGTAAGCGCCTTACCTGCTGTAGTATCTCTCCAACACCTCCCCTCCCCCATGACACTTTCATTTCCTGTGCCAGCCCATGTGGTTTTCTGCATGGCAACTATACATGGAACTACCAACATGGTTTATCTGGTGAAGGGAACTGTTTTCTCAGCAAGGCCATTGGGGAGGGCCTCATATCCCCCTAGATTGAGACTGGGTTGGTGGCTACTTCCCCAGGCTGTGTCAGGCTGTCATTTCCTATCAGCTTCTGATAAGGGCTCTTTTCACCTCAGCCTCAGTGTGGGAGTGTGAAGGTAAGAACAGAGTGAGTCCTTGAACTTCCGCTTTGTAGATAATAGTTTAGACACGGAGTCACCTCATAGCGGTGAGTCAGAATAAGACACTTCATGCTGATTAATCTTTACAACAGATCCAGGAGGTGAACAAGATTATTCTTGCACCAGTGAGAATAGTGGTGCCCCCTGTAGTCAAGTAAGTTTACCCAAAAACAAACTACAGCAAAGATCCTAACCTTGAGAATGTGGCTCAGTGGCCTAGCTCATGCCTTGCATGTGGATGAGGTGCTGGGTTGGATCTCTGGTATCAAGATCCAAGCCTAAACTAGCACTATAGCACTGTCCTCCCATTGTTCATCTGTTTGCTAGAGCGAATAACATTTGCTCGAACCAGTAACATCTCCATTGTGAGACTTGTTACTGTTTTTGGCATATTGAATATGCCATGGAGAGCTTGCCAGGTTCTGCCGTGCGGGCGGGATACTCTCGGTAGTGTGCTGGGCTCTCCGAGAGGGATGGTGGAATCAAATCCGGGTCTGCCGCGTGCAAGGTAAACACCCTACCCTCCAGCCCAAGCCTAAACTACTGCCCAAAAAAAATTTAAAAGAAAAAAGCTACTGTCCAGATTCAGTGGGGATGGCTTTCTAGGAGCTTGGGGAGCTGGCTCAGAGGGTGGTACATGGGAGCCCTGGGTTCAGCACCCCACATCTCGTGTCTGCTCTTCCAAGCCAGCAACGGCCCAGCAGCAGCAAATACTCAGGCCTTTCC